TGTTCATATATATGATATCTGTGAGCAATATCTTTGGCTAAATTTCAACAAAACAAAACAATAACCGCTAGAAGTATGGCTACTCCACGTTCAAGAGGAGGTCGTGGCAAACGTCCAACCAACACACCTGTTCGTTCATCACCTCGAATCGTGCGAAGATCTTCGTCTTATCCAAACGCTGTAAACCGTCACTTTGTCAATGGCATTCCCATCTTGGAAATTACACTTAGATTCGACGAAGATGAATATGATGTTTGGCGAAGACAAGACACTGATGAAGTAAATCTTCACTACTTGTTACGTATCAAGTATCCTAGAGACGAAGACGAGCAAGCCTGGCAAGCAGAACTAGAAAGGCTTAAGAGAGAAGTGAACGATATCAAAGTTATTGAAGAAGGCTGGTTTGAAGGCGTTTGGTAAAAAAATATTATTGATTTAGCTTTTATAATAATTCTTTTCAAAGATTATCATTAACCTTGTTTTGTCTTTATTAATAAACATATAAACAGGGTTCCACTTGAAAAAGGTGCATATTTTCTTGATTAAAATATAAATCTTAGTACATAGATAATGAAAATTTTTATATATTAATTCATTATGTTTTATAATAATTTGATGAAATTTAGCCAAAGATATTGCTCACAGATATCATATATATGAACATGTTGCTGCTCTGCTCGAATCAGAAAATAGTTGGTTTGATACACCGAAAAAACAGAGTGCAAAAGCCAAGGTAAAGTGTGTGTAATATGTGATGTCATATTTATTGAAAAAATATTAATATTAAAAATTATTTTAAATATGAATTAATTTTAATTAGAGCGAGCGCGCAATGAATCAGATGAATTCAATTGCAGCATTAAATTCTGTAAGTTCTCAATCAGAAGTGCCAGTAGAAACCACAAACGGTACTTCTCCTACTACTGCTCGTTCTATTGCAACCAACAATTATGGTATTGCAAATGGAACTGTCAGATCGGATAACGAAAGCAAATCTAGAAGGCGAACATCGGAACGAATCAAAGCCAAATCTCAGCCTGGCCAAGAATCACCTTCTACATCAACAACATCAACAAAACGAATCAGAGAAATTGAAAATGAACGCGATTTCAAAGATTTCAAAGAAGAAGTTCAAATTCTTAAGCGTAAATTGGATGAAACAGAGGAATTTTTAAACTATAATGGAAATGGAAATAGTAATAAGAGACGTGCTGTCTGGGCAGGAATTGGAGCAGCCGTAGGTGCAGGAATTACTGCAGTGGCCCTTAATAGTATGGGTATAGGAGTTCCTGAAATAGTAGATGGAATCTCTAAGATCTTTAATAGTTAAAATTAGTCTCATTTTTCAAGAAAAAAGTTTGATCATCTCTTTTATCTTTATTAATTTCAGAAATTTTATATCCGAAAGTTTTCTTCAGCTTGACTGATCAATAATTTTTTTTTTTCCTTTTTTTTGATAGATTTGGGAAAAGTGTTGAATTATATCGAAAGGTTGCTTCATAAAGTTAGAGGTGTAAAATATCAAGCAGACATTTTGATTCTGCAAATTTGTATATTTTTTATATTTTATTTTTTTGCTTATATCTTTTTTTTCGATCATCAATCATAATCAGTAAAAAAATCCTCTATTTACGTGAGCGTTTATACATATATATTTTATATTAAAAAATCCCTCTCTTGATAATCATTATTATTATTAATATCTCATTAAGTGAAAAAACAAAATACTTGTTAGTAATTTTTTGTGATTTTCCGTATATATAATATATAAAAATTATTATTATTTTATTTATTTCTAGTTGTTTTATTGGCAGGAATCACATCGTTTTTTTTGAAAAAAAAAAAAAAAAAAAAAAGATATTTTTTATTTGGTCTGGTATCAAATTCCTTTTTTTTTCGCTATTATAACTTGAAAAGAATTCAATTTGTTTTTTTGATCTTTAATTCAAAACCCTTTTTTTCAAAAAAAAAAAAAAAAAAAAAAAAATTTTAAGTTTTCTTGTTTTGAAATTATTAATTTAATTAATTAATATTAATAGATTAAAAAAATATATATATATATTTGTTATATATTCATTGTAGAATAAATCATTTAATATTAAAAAATTATATTGAAAAGTAAATATTTATTAGCGAACTTACTTGTTTCGACGATCATTTGTCGATCATTTATTTATTTTTTTTTTATACGGCAACGTTACTAGTAATTTCAAGTTATGAGATATAATCCGTAATGTATTTACAGGTAACGCTCTTGGGTTATAAATCGTGAGAATATGATCTTTTTTTTCATTAAAGTTAATTGTTTTTCTTAACGATTATTATATTAAAAATGTTTCTTTAAACTTATAATATAATGTTATAATACTAATAAAAATATGTGTACTAAATAAAATTAAAAAAAAATTTTTAATTTTTTAATATAATTTCTAAAAAATACTATTATTGTAAAGAATTGCAGACAAAATTGGCTGCTATTTTAACTTAATAACTTTTTTTACTAATTAATCTATTTTTTTTTGATTTTACTTAAAATATATAAAAATTTTATTATAAATATTTTACTTATCCCTTCAATTGTTTTGCCTACAAATTTGCAGACAATTATTTAATTTATTATTAAATATTTTAAAATATATTATTAAAAAAATTAACACTTCTATAATAATTTTATAATGTTTTCTAAGTAAAAATTCAAAAAAATGTAATTATCAAGTGATTTTTTAAAGATAAATAATAAATTATTATAAAAATAATTAAAATTTTAAACTTATATATCCTGCTATCTATTAATCTCAGAAATATAAAAATACTATCATTTAATAGGTCTTAATATAATGAATCTAATAAACTAAATTTTATATTTTGTAATTATTTTTTTTTAAAGACATGGTGATACAATATTTTATTATAAAAATCAAATTCAGTATAAAATACATGAAAATCCCAAAACAAGTACAAAAGTAGAAAAATAAAAATTGCTACCTAATATTCTTCATTAGAAAATTAGCTTTTACTGACTAACTGGTTGTCCTGTCTGATTCTGATCGTAAAGATTTACTGAACAATCATCAATACCAAACTGAATGAAAAGAACTGTTAAAATAACTGATTATCACTGGTTTAAGAAGAGGGACCAATATCGATCATGATTATAAGAATTATTAATTAGAGTAAAATAATCTAAAATATCTGTATTATTTGCAAATAATGTATTAGAAAAACTATTAATAGAAAATTTAATATTGGATGAAACAAAATTGCTTTTCTTTTGTTACTTGATTATATGTAGGGATCTTTCTTTAACTGAAGTTAAATTACATCTAGTTTTCCATATATTGTTATAGGCTTGATTAAAAATAAAATCAAAAAAAAGAAGAAAAAATAGAGGAGATAATGGAGGATGATTTGATAAATATTGTTAAGGTTAATGATAAAATAACAGGAACAATGCCTTGATAATATCAATAATAGAGAAATCATGTAAATTTACTCGTAATAACCATATTAAATATAATAAATTTAAAAAATTATTAATATTACCTGTAAATTCAGATTTTGAAGTGAACAATTGAAGTTTTAAATATGCTATGAGTCAAAGATCAAGGATGTGAATATTGTTTAATATCAAGACATAGCCAAAGATGATTAAAGTCTTTATTATGACTATTACAATGACAATATTTTTAGAAAGGTAAATATATCTGGAGTTGAATGACTTTCATAAATTGAACTGTTAGAAATTACTCAAGAAGAAATTTGAGTCTTCTATTATGGCTTCTTATTTCGTTAAATGATATAACAGATACTGATCCAATTTGAATGAATTAAAAAATCAAAATCCAGTTTATTTATAAGTGTTGATATTTGGTATTTCATTTAAAATAATAATAATAATATAATCTTTTAAAAAGAAGCGTAAGAGTAATGTATAGGCATGTCATTAAATTTAGGTATATAGACGTTTTGCAATAGAAAGGGAAGAAACTATCAAAAAAATTTTTTTAATTTTATAAGCTAAATCTTATTTTTTAGTAAAATAAATCCAGATTTAACATTAATTCAAAAAAAATTTTTTTGGTAGTTTCCTCTCTTTCTATTGCAAAATACCCATATAATTAATAAAAGGGATATAATTTAAGAATAGATGTAAGAGAGAGAAAGAATAGAAGATTTGCTAACTGATTAGTCTTATTAATATATAGATCATTAGAGTAAACAATGTCCTTAAGGAGTGAAATGTTAATTTATTATTTCTCGATAATTTTAAAAATAATAGACCAGAAAATGTAAAAGGAAATTTTAAATATAAGTAAAGGATATTAAAATACGTTTGTTCTAACTATATAATTATAGGTATAAATAAGAGCTAAGTTATCTGTGTGAATTAAAATTGAAGACAATAAAAGTCTAAATAAAAAGACTAAAAGAAAAGCAAAAATTTCAGTATTGGTGGAATTAGCCCAGACAACAGGAATAGCAGTCGAGAATTCTATGACTAAAAAATCATATATCAAATAAAATGTAAAATTTAAATATGATACAAGAGGTGAAAGAACTAAGTTATGCAAATTATATATATAAAATATAAGAGACCTTTCATTTAGAAGTAATCGGTAAAAATCTATTAAGAATGAACTAACACTATTATTTAGAAATAAATTGGAGATGATAACAAAGGGTAAAGTACTGAGAATGAGATTATTAAATAAGATAGTAGGAGAATATACTGTCAAATAATATTGTTTTGCTTGATCAATGATGAACCAAATATTTTTTTTTAAGAAGGTATAGTTTGTTGTTATTAACAGAGGTGAAATGAGTAACTTTTATAACTTGAGGTAGATCATCATTAATGATATTACTATAAAGTCAAGTAGTAGCTGATGTATTAAAATTTAAAATAGATTTCAGTAAGTTAAAAAGAATATCCTGAATACAGAGTAAATAGATTCTGTTTTTTGGATACTGATCTAAGATTATAATTGAGAGTTGAATTATTGATGTAGTATTATATAGCAACTTTATTAGGAATAAAATAAAATCTGATAGCTTATCTAATAATACCTTGGCTAAGATAGGGTAGATTATAATAATTATATTCTAGTAATGTTCAGAGAGATATCTAAGGAGATTTTTTCTTATTGTCAAAAAGTGAAGCAGTAATGTAACTTTGAGGAGTAAAATTATTAAAACAATATTTAGGTTTAAGATGATTTGAACTTATGGGATTCAAAAGAACAATATTTTATAAAGCAATAAATCATCTTGTGATAGCTCCTCTATTGGAATTGTTGACTTTGAGAGAAAGATCATAATATTCTATTAAAAAATTACCTTAAGTAATAAACTGATCTGAAAACAAAGTCCTGTATCTTTTCAGTGAAAAAATCCATTTCTTCTTTCATAAAATGAAAAAGTTAAGAGTTTTAATGCCTCTTTGGATATGAAAATCAAAAGTAATAAAGACAGATCTTTGTATCAAAAAAGGGACCTGAAAGTATAGAGTAAGCATGTTATAAAGGTAATTGTCATATCTCAGATTTTTAAGTTGTAATGATCAACTTATAATAGCATTATCTGGTAATCAGAAAAATTTTAAAGTTATTTGAAACAAATTTTAGTAATCAAAAAAAGCGGTGATCTTGAAGTCACTTTGTTAATAATTAAAGTAAAGTATTATAATTTAAAATGTAATATATTAAAAATTAAATTATTAAATCTAAATGATAACCTATTATAAAGTGTACTGTTAGAAGTATATTTATTGAAATTTGAATTTATATTTGATAAAAGTACAAATATGAGAAAATAGAGCAAAGCATTCTTTTTGTGAAAAGACAATTAGTTAAGTACAGTATTCAAGCTGAGAAATGAATATTTAGTTACAAAAATATCTCAGTTGTTTATCTATCATAGGCTTAGTATTAAGTTTTAAAATAAAGTCATTAATCTTATTTTCTATTTGTTATTTAACAAACTTTTTGTTATATAAAGCAGAAATCTAAATATCTAAATATCTAGTCAATTCATAAGGTTAATTAGTTAATATAGTTACTTGATTATTCAAATATGTGTGTGAAATAAGATATTATTAGTGATTGTTTCAGAGGTAACTATAAAGAATTTTTTCAGATAAATTTATATTGAATTAAGGTTAAAAAGGTCTTAGTTATGTCAAAAATATCTTTAAGTTTAGAGCAATCCAAATTGTATTATTCATGTAAGCTAAATTAAATATAGAGGTTGAAATATTATATTTTCTATTTTGTTAATGTTTAGTAACTATGAAATATCTAATATATAGCCTAGATTAAATTTTTGCTTATCTTTACAAAACAAAATTTATTAAAAAATTTTATGTGAAAAATGATCTATGCGTTATTAAAAAAGTAATTGTCTAATAGTAATAAAGTTATGTAAATGATATAATATAATGATCTTTTAATCTAAAATTTTAAAAATACTAAAGATTTAT